CTTCAACTTGTTGGCAAGGCTAACTCAAATCTAGCTGATGTGATTCTGAAAGTTGGTCTTTTTGAGAGGCATGTCACTTCTCCTTGGGCCTGGTTCATATAATCCTTTGAGTCTGAGTCATCCCTTTAGTGAAGTCTGCCCTAGCTTGGCTTATTTGCCTTGCTAGATAAGTTCCCCTTAAGCTCGAGTTCAGTTAAGCTGCCTCTGGTTATGGAGTTTTCTTGACTTCAAAGTGACTTTAACCCTTCTCGTACTTTTGCAAGGATTGCCCGGATTAATAAGCTAAATTCAGCAGTGGCAAAAGCAGTTGATCAATTTAAATTTGATTCATGGATCACATCCATAAATTATCTCTCGCAACAGTATTTATAGCTATTCTTTTTAGTGCAGATCAGAAATTGCTTGGAGGGATGCAAAATATGCTCAAATATACGAGTACCTCAGGGAGGAGTATGAGGTTACACAACGCTTTGGGAATCTTGATTTCAAATTAAAATTTGTGGAGGTAAACATCTTTTGTCTCGTACTTATACTTGCACATATTTTGTTTCGCTCTTTTTAGATTTTCAAGGGTCCTGTTATTCAGTGATAGGGAAAAAGCGTATAAGGTGAAGCCTGTTACTTAGAAAAGATTGATATGCATGATGACACTAATGGAGCTGCAAATGCAATGAAATTGGGAAACTTCTATTCATACTAGCACCCTCAAGTTTTTGGCGTTAGAATTTTGGCATAACTTCTAAGTTCTATATTTAGCATTCCTCAAAATTTTTACTTCTAAGTGATTAAACATCATACACATCAGAGAATGAAGTATCATGGTCGAACAGCTGCAGCTCCAACTTATTTGATAGGAAAAACAGAAGTAGAATGGATGCGGAAGAATTTATAATGATAAAGAGCGTTTCAATCTTCTTATTTAGGGTGGTAAGCACAGTCAAAAATATTTAACACGGATGGCATGATGCTCTAATTGTAAAAGTGATGATTCAAGTTTGTTTCATCCTTTATCATATCTGAAAAAACCTGAAGCTCATTAGTCTAACTTGTTCTACCCCTTTCTTTGCAGCATAACATTCATTTCCTTCAAGAAGTTATGCAAAATAGACGATCAGATCTCTTGGAATGGTGCATCATTTTCCTGTTAAGTATCGAGAATATTATAGCTATATATGAGATTGTACGTGAATCAACTGGAGTTTCACTCTGATTCGAGCAAATGAGCATAAGTGGAACACCGAACGACAGCTATTCGCAAATTTAATTCATTCACAGAAAGTCATTGTTATAATTTATTTTCCAATAAGTTACCTGAAATATACGACACAAAAATTTGTTGATGTCCCCTTGATTATACTTCTTTAATTTGTAGAGTAGTATAAATCCTATGCATTTTGGTGGCTCAACAATATTTGATTGATGGAAATGTAAATATAGATTTGGGTTATGGGGTGGAGAGATGATTGATTCAAAATATCCACACTTTTAACCATGTAGAGTCTATGGCATGGAGAGTCCTTGGGCACAAACACACTTAACTATGTGGCGATCCAAAGATGGTTGTTTGAGGATCATCAGGTCTTTAACAGTATGAATATAGTTGCTTCTTATTCAGTGAGGACCCAATTATCACTTGCATCGCTTAACAGAAACCACCGAAATCAGGTTAGGATGCTATAATTCTATCCTTAGACCATCAAATTCAACAGGAGTTGTAATAGCCATATATTATGAATTCAATTATAGGCCTTTTTGCGTTTGTTATATCACAAAGTACATTAAGAATGCCCTTTCTCTCTCAAAAACTACCAATGGTTCTGGCCTTGTATCTCCAGCCGAAGATTGAACATGGTAAACTCAAAATTCTTCAACTCTGACTGCATTACGGGGCGTCTCATATGCATCCTTTGCCCTTGACTTCTTCACTCCAGCTGTAAACCATACCTTATCAGACTTGGAACTCTCAACAGCTACACTTGTGACCTTCACCCACACTAGAACCTTCGTCTTCATTCCCTCAATACCCGTGAACTTTCCCCGGAGCAGAATTCCTTTTATGCGGGTTGCATACCTGATAGTGGAGGAGTCCTTGAATGTAACTTCACATGGAGAGGGCAAATAAACTGTCAGCTTGCTCTTTGATTCATCAAACTCATAACAGATAATGTTTTGGGGAAAGAGGCCTGGTGGCAAGTTATATTCCTGAAGGAGCTCTGGCAAGTTTTTCAATGGTTTTCCTGTACAGAGGAGGAAACATAGATGGAAAGCATAAAATCATGAGGGATAATGTCTCTCTGCTTACTTTTCAAATTAAACTGGGGAAAAAAAGCTACAAAAACTAGTGGTGGCATGAATAACATTATAGAAATTTGCCTTTTGTCCTAAATTAAGTAGGAAACCTAGATTCACCTAAAGGAGAAAGAGCATCTTAGAAAACTGTGCTAAATCATGGAGGTTCTATGACCTAGCAATTGCCAGTAAGTATAGTATTAGTTGCAAAAGAGAGGCCCTAGCTACTTCTTAGTCACTGCCATGACCGTGCTTGAACTGGCATAATTGTGCAGTAATGTCCATTACAGATCTCTACCTTTTAGTCTGTTGAAAATCCATTTTGCCTTCTGTTCAACAGTATTTGAGAAAGTCTGAAACAAAAAGACACAGGTTAGTTATCTCGGGAGGATACTGGAATTAACTATACCCAGAAAAATCACACAAGAAAGTAAAAAAAAAATCTTCTTATTCTCCTGAAATTTAATGTTGTATATATATTCATATATATACAAGTCCTAGAGATAAGAAAAGAAAAGTTATAATTAATTGCAAATAATGTATTTTACTATAGTACCTTTTAGCCTAGTTTAGCCTTTTTTACACATAAAATAGATTCTTAATACATTCCCTCAAGCTGGAGAACACATGTTATACAATGGTCTAGAACGTTGGATTACTTAAACCTTTGGTCAACACGTCTTCAAGTTGTGACTTTATAAGCACACAGGGTGTATATTTCAGGCCATTGTCTAGCTTCTTTTTAATAAAATATCTATTAAATTCAATGTGTTTTGTCCTATCAAAACAAAATTGTGAGCAATGCTATTGTCGATTTATTGTCATAAAAAAAAAAGACGCATTGGGTCATCCCACTTGACTCTTAGATCTTCCAGGAGTCTTTTCAACCACAGTAATTCACATATTCTTTGTGCCACTGCTCAGAATTTTTAGTTTGCACTTGATGTTACAACTACATTTTCCTTTTCACTTCTCCAAGTTATCAAGTTATCTTCAAAGAAGGTACAGTAACCTGCAGTAGATCTTTTGTTTACCATTGATCCTACATAGTTTATATCAATATAAGCTTCAAAGACTAACCTACCATCCTTTTTAAACATTATGTCTTTCCCAGGTGTCCCCTTCAAGTAGCATAATACTCTATCAGCTGCCTGTAAGTGTACTTCTTTAAGGTTGTACATGAACTGTCTTATCACACTAACTATACAGGCACAGGTCTTGTGTGTGATAGGTAAATCAACCTCCTAACTCGTCTCTAGTATACCCTCTTATCTATTTTTGTATTCTCTTTTGCTGATCCCAACTTATGGCTGGAGTTAATAAGTGTACTAGCTGGTTGATATGCTACTTTACCTGTATCTTTTAATAGATCATTTAGGTATTTCTGTTGTAAGATAAAGATTCTTGATTTTGGATGGGCTACTTCGATTCCTAGAATGTACTTCAGCTTATTTCTTGTTCAAACTCCTTAGTTAAGCGACGTTTGAGCATAAGTTTTTTTTTTTTTTTTTTATCATTCTCTGTCACAATAATATTATCAAGATATACTAGATGAACTGTAACTCATCCTGAATCTAAGAGCTTGTATTCCATTAGTTCTCCATAAGTTGGTGCAAAATCCCATATGGGAATTTGTGCTAATAATTTCAGACGTAACCTTGGACAATGTAAGATTTTAGGCAATTAAGGGCAATTCAAAGTGACAAAAATAAAGATTACTAGACTACAAAGTTCCAAATACACGGCACTAGAGTGGTGGTGGAGGCACGTCAAAACTGAAGGTGGGCACCAAAGCTGAGCAAGGCAGGCTGCGTGCAGCTTTGGTGACTAGAAAAAGGCGCAACTGAAGTGCCGCTGGAGGAACCAAAAGGAGGACTGGAGGAGCCATTGGGGCTAGCGCAACAGAGTGCACCTGATCAGGTTGCTGCGGCTCGGCTCGTGATGGGTGATGCAGCTGGCTAGCTATTGTCGGCTAGAAGACAGGTGGTAATGGTGGCTGTTGTAGTGGTTGGCTTTTGAAGACTGGCCTCCTTTAGAGTTTATCTTATTTCAGCAATGAATGCCTAAAAGAGTTTTTAAAAGATTCTAGGTTTTTTTAAACTAGAGTTTTGATACCATGTCAGTAATAATTGCACTGTATTTTTCATTGAATAATATGTTTTTATATATACAAGTTCTAGGGATAAGAAAAGAAAAAGTACAATTAATTACAAAGCATGTATTTTACTCTAATACTGTTTAATTTAGTTTGATCCTGTTTACACATAAAATACATTCTTTAACAACACCAATTTAATAGATCAATGCTTTCTTGCCTTTCTTTTGGTCTTTAGAGAAGAGACAAAAAGACAAACTTGAATATTCTTCCTTACCCAAGAACTTCCCAGATATTGGAACACCAAAAACTGTTTAGCAAATTATGCATCTTCTATAACCTATTGAAGTCTTGTCTAGCTTATTTAGCAAGCACTAATTTGGTAATTCTAAAATCTGCAAAGTTTACTACATGCTTGATAAATAAGAAGATTTGTAGTTGAGACATATGAGATTTCAGAAATTACAAAAAGAAGAGGTTCAGAATGGCCTGGTTTAATATATTTGGCTGACATTCCATCTTGAATGCCTCAGGCCAACATCCAGATCAACAAAATATCGTGCATTTTTAAGTTGTTTTGTAATTGACATTAACCCTACGCAACACAATAAAAATCACATAAGTTTAACATTTAAAAGATTTAACATTATGCGTAATATAAATCCCCAAGGGCTAATTACCCATACGACTCAAATATATATACACAAATTATATTAATGAGATTTGTCTTGGGTTACAATATTATGATATGGGACTTGTTTATCCGAGGAAAAATAGGTTCATGATCTCTGCAAATAAGTGAAATTCGAATAGAAGAGATGATGGCGTACAAAAGGTTTCCAAACAACAGTTCTCTGCAATACCAACTACTTAAAGAACCTTTGCACTCCACAATTGAGGTGAGGTAGAATTGCTCATGGTGAGACTCATGTTATCACAAAAACAAAGCGATGTACCTCTTTGTTAATGGCTGAGTGTTCTAGGAGTCCTAGTCAGCTTACATATAAAGATAAGAACAATTAGGAAAAGACTGAAATATCCTACTTACCTACACAAAAATCTGGGCTCTAGTAGGAAATATTATCTTCTAAACTCTACATAGGTAGTGATTCGAATATCACTCTGCCCTGGAAGGAACGATCAAAAGGAAGGAAATTAAATTTCCAAATTTCCGCAACTCCGTCCCGGAGAACCAAATGACCCAATTCGGGATGTTCAATAAACTACGAACTTACCAAGAATTACAGAATCAAATGGCTTTAAGAAACAGAAGACAGCAGCCATATCCACTCGGA